AAAAGCTCCCCAGGCGATATTAATATTCACTGAAATTTAAGAAACCCAGACTAGTCCATAGTTCAGAAAGAGTTTCCAATCCAGGAAGGTCTTGATGGTAAACATTAAAAATGTTTTGGCATTCTCTGTCCCAAGCTTTGTTTTTGGCCCAGAGCTTCAATATAAAGACATGATTGGAACTCCCTTTGCATTCCTCCTTAGGAGCTTTTCTACATATGGTTCACCAGCTGCACAACTATTAAATCACAGTTTTCTGGGACCACACACAACCACCACCAAATCCAAGCCACACTGAGATACTCAGTCCCCTTCTGGGAGACTACTGGATGCTGATTCAGCTCTCCAGCATCCTGCCTGGAAGGCCCAGGACTGCTCAGTGATAGGAAAGAGAGCTATCGCCATAGGTAGTACAGATCGTATTGATAAATTATAATTAATAAATATACCTCACATCTATATAACATTTAATGTTTTTATAATGTCTTTGTAATTTCTTTGTGACTTCATTATGTTAAACAATCCAGTGAGGAAAATGCAACAATTACTGTCTATATTTGAAAACTGGAGAAATTGAGGCTTCAAGTGGTTAAGTGATTTAGTTTAAATCATGTAGCTTTTGGCTAAAGTAACATCAGATATCAGATATCTTAACCAGACATCTGGTGCTCTGTTGACTTGTAAGCCTGCTTTGCTGACATGCAAGCCTCCTTCCCCTGAGTATCACCTGCCACATGCTACAGCAACCATGCTAAGTACTTCAGGAGTAGACAAAACCCATACACATCATTGTTCCTATCCTGATGAAGTTTAAACTTAATTTAGGAAGACAATATACATATATGTAATTACTTTTACTTTAGCTATGATAAAACAATTACACAGATACACAGACACACACACACACACACCTCTGACTAAATATCCCATCTTTACCTAAGTCTAAAATATCAGAGTTCTAAATTTTGAATACAATGATTTATCTTCTTTAATACATATTTCGATGACTTAGTTTTGATACTTGTTTTTAACAGAAACTCTATTGTACATGCACTCAAACACTTCTTTTTACAGGTTAGAACTTAAAAGCACAGGAAAATCTTCTACTGGAATAATCTAGTTTTAATAAAAATATTGTCACCCCTCATACTGAGCACTTTTAAGAATCTGGCATACAGCCTAGGTTTAAAAGAGATAATACATTTTTCAAATGATAAAGAAATTCAAATAACACTAAGTCTAGCCTAGAAACAATAATGGCATAAATAGATAATTTCATATATAATCTTGCCATATTACAGTGATTGCAATCATGGATGCTGTAAAATCTCATTTTGGATGCAGAAAAACCCCAATAAGAAATGGTTCTGTATTAAAAGTCTGAAAATGCAGTTGTACAATATTAAAACTTCTGGCATTGACTCGTGCTGAAAATTATTTAGAAAGTGGCAACACTTTCAGATCATTTGATTTAAAAAAGCAAAAACAACTCAATATAAAAGATCCCCTCTCATAGATTTAGTTCTAAACTACACATTATTTGGTAAGTGAGCATATACAGATACTAGGGCCACTTTACAGGAGGATATTATTTCTTGATGGCCGCATTCTCATAATTTCTGAATATCATCTTACAGGTAAGAAAGTAGACTTCTATGACGGAAGGAAAGATACTAAGTTTCGAAGTTTCCAATAACTAAATAGTCCTGTTCTAATCCTTAAGTGTTCCCCTCGATCACCCTATCTCTCTCTGAAAATCAACCCAGGCTCTCATTTGTGAATAAAATCTGGGTATGGGCCAATGGGAAAATTGGGCAAAACCGGATGGGCTAAGGAGATTGTACACTAAGAACTGAGAAGGGTCAGAGAGCAGAAAGGAGAGCCTGAGGGCTTTGTTGTCAGGCACGAGAGGCATCTCTCACATATGACAGGCATCTGAACTCTATATAGAGAGAGTGAGAGATATTTGACAATGAGAGAAAGAGGAAAATAAAAAAAAATTTTTTAAGATTTTATTTATTCATTCAAGACACAGAGAGAGAGAGACAGAGCACGAGCAGGGGGAGAGGCAGAGGGAGAAGCAGGCTCCCCGCTGAGCCAGGAGCTGGACATGGGGCTCGATCCCAGGACCCTGGGATCATGACCCGAGCCAAAGGCAGATGCTTAACCATCTGAGCCACCCAGGCGCCCCAGGAAAAGAAAATTTCTAAAGCTTTTACCCGTAGAATGTTTGCTATTTTGCAGACTATAACAATGTTTCCTTAAATTTGACACTGTTCAGCAAAAGGGACACGTGATAGTTGACCTTTTATTTATTTTTTATTTTTTTAAAAGATTTTATTTATTTATTTGAGAGAGAGAGGCAGAGGGAGAGGGAGAAGCCGACTCCCTGCAGAGCAGGGAGCCCAATGTGGGGCTGAGCCACCCAGGCGCCCCCACTAGTGGGGCTTGCATACAGTCAACTCATAGGCATCATTTCTGATGCATAATTTTTCTATAATAAGAAGTGGATAATATAGAGAAAGTTTAAGATATCCTCCATAGAGTGACCGCTGTAAGCTGTCCTAAACTAGCATCTTTAAAAAATCTTACTCTTGGGGCATCAGGGTGGCTCAGATGGTTGAGCGTCTGCCTTTGACTCAGGTCATGATCCCAGGGTCCTAGGATCAAGCCCCGTATCAGGCTCCCAGCTCAGCGGGGAGCCTGCTTCTCCCTCTCGCTCTCCCTCTGCTTGTGCTCTGTCTCTCTCTCTCTCTCAAATGAATAAATAAAATCTTTTAAAATAAAAAAAAAATCTCATTCTCATATCTCCTGGACAGGCTGGCTAAGAACTATGTTGGTTTTTATATCATGTCCAAAAAAAAAAAGCATTCCTTATATAAGCTTTGAGAAAACTGAAATATTAATTTCTACAGAATGTGTGAAAACTAAATTATGAGGAAAAATAAGGGAAAGCTAAAAGATTGGTGAAAAAACTATAAGGGAAAATATAACACCATTAAAGATAAATGCTCTGAGAAAGCATCTTAGGGACCAATCAAAGCCCTCTTCACTAGGGATAGGTTCACTATCCTGAGTGTGGTGATGGTTTTACAGTGTATACATTTGTCAAAGCTTATAAAATAGTGCACTTTAAGTGTATGCAGTCACCCTAAAAAAGAAAGAAAAGAAAACTACATATGCATGAAAACAAACAATGTACATTTGCAATTCAGAAGGATTACCAATCTTCAACAGGACCTGAAAATTTGGAAGCTTTCATGTTGTTAAAACACGTATACAAATATACTCCATCCACATTAGATGAAATATGTAAAATTTAACATTTCAAATTACATAACAATTTATATTAGGGTAATGTAAATGAAATTAACTTTCAGGGGAGAGAAGATAGGGAAGAAGATGGCAGCATGAAAAATAATGGTTGTTGGTGAAGAAGGAGGGTTGATATTTCCAGGGACTAAATACCCATCTGGGAATTTAAAAAGTGGTAGGTTTGTAAGAAGAAAAGAGATAAAACATTTATTCATCTATTGCTTCATTTATTCAACAAATATTCATTGAAGTCTTATGACTGCTAAGAACTGCAAAGCATGGATCAGCAAAAGATCTGGTCTTTATCTTTATTAATTTATAGTGTGTCATGGTAGAAAGTTATCAATCAGGTTACTTCACAAATATTAAATTCTCCTGTACAAAGTGATAAAGGAAAAAGCCATGAAAAAGTATGACAGGAGTGTCAGGAAAGGTTTCCCTGGGAAGGTTTTCTTTGAGCTGGGATGTGCAGAATGAGTCATCCTTAACTATGTAAAAGAAGACAGCGTGTACTAAAGCCCAGGGCAAGTAAAACATGGTACCTTTGAGTAAATAAGACAGGAATTGGTCCACTTAGGAGATATTTTGGAGTTAAAAATCTATGGGACTTTGTAATAGACTGTATTTGGAAGGAGAGAAAAATAACAAGAACGATATCAAAATTTCCGCAGTCCGCAACTGGATACATATGCACGGCTTTTACTGAGATAGGAAACACAGTAGGGAGGCCAGGCTGGGGGTAATAGCCAAAGGTAGAAGAAACACATGTCCATCAATGGATGAAGCGATAAAGAAAATGTGGTATATATATATATACTAGAATATTTTCAGTCCTAAAAATGAAGGAAATTCTGACCCATGCTCCAACATGGATGAACCATGAAGATAGCTAAGTGAAATAAGCCAGTCATAAATACTATATGATCCCACTTATGAAAGGTATCTAGAGTAGTTAAATTCATAGAAAAGTAGAAGAGTGGTTGCCAGGGGCTAGGGCAATGGGAAAATGAGGAATTGTTGTTCTGTAGGTATAGAGTTTCAGTACGACAAGATGAAAACGTTCTAGAGATTGGCTACTCAACAATGTAACTACACCTAACACTACTGAATTATACAGTTTAAAAAAGGTTAAAATGATACATTTTATGTTATGGGTATTTTACCACATTTATAAATTTTAAGTACGCTGAAAAACTGCATTTTAGCTGACTAGCTAGCTATATAATTAACTGATCCATAGATAGCTAACTAGCTGTGAACTGAAGATATAAATTTGAAAATCATACAAAGCAACAATAATTTTATTACACTGCTTTACAATCATCTCCTCCCTCCTCTTTAAAACCCTGGGCGTTCAGTGACTCTGTTAAGTATGAGGAATTCTCATCCTGTCCTCCCTGGAGCCTCAGTTTGACACAAGAGTCTGCGTTCATCTACCAAGAGAAAACAACTTGAAAATTTGGAAGTAACGGCAGACATAAAGCTTTCATAGCTGTGGTACACCACCACAACTAAAAATATCTCTATTTGTCTATGCACCTAATTCCAGCAAATATTAAAAATGACAAGCGCAGATACTGAGGAAAAACATAAGACGACTTCTTTGAGCAAATATGCATTGGTTTTAGAGATAAATCCATTGTTTGCACATCAGTATAGATCCCTCTGAACAATATTATTCTTCCTACCTTGTTTGCGTACATCCTCAACTGCAGCGACCAATTCTTCTTTGAGATCTTGACTCTCCTTAGCAATCTGTTCACCCTTATCCAGGAAGTTTTGAGTGGCTTGTTCTACAGAGGCAGCCAGTACATGGGCTTTCTTTGACCTCCCTTTCTTTTTACCAGATGGGCCTTTGTTGCTTGTGTTGACAAGGGTTGTCACCTTAAAGACGAAAGAAAAACTGTCAAACTAATCTGCACCACTGTCTAGGAAAAAACACAGTATCATCTCATCATTTTAAAACAGCCCTTGTTTATTAAATCATGAATGCACATCCCATAGCCTAATCTTAAGGAAAACGGGGAATTATACGAGTTAGCATATAAATAAACAGCTATTTATTTCATAGAGAGAAAAAAAAAAGTATGTGAATACATTGGAAGAGCAGACCCACCGGTAACTTAGTTTCCAGTTCACTGGAGGTTGTGCTTTTACAGATTGATAGGACAGTGCACACTGGAGTAACCAGCTTCCGGAAGGCAAGAAAAGGAAAACCAATGTGGAATTGTCTCTGAGCACTGACTCAGGAGAACCAACACCCAGTCCTGAGTCCCCAGAGTCAGGGCAGAGGTGAAAGAACAGTTAATGAAGAGTGGGCCATCAATACCCATTACTTACAGGTCATTTATCAAGGACTTTTGAAGAGCTCTGCTATTTCTGATTTCATCTTATAAAAACAAAATGGCAAATTTGATCTGAGGGAACCAAATGATTTAGTCTCATCATTTGGTTAACCAGCTAAAATTTCCAGACTTGAAATTAGATTTTCATTGCCACTCTTTTTCCAAGTATTATAGTTTGTAACACATCTCAACTGCCAAACTTCTTTTAGCACTATAACTAGAGTTATTTAATTTGCTAACAAAGCTGTTATTATCTTTCAAACAACTTATCTCCTATAGATTTCTGATCCTTTATTTTCTACCAGTGAGAAGTTTGAGAGTGGAATGAAAAAAATTGGTTTCATATTCTGTTCAGCAAAAGTTGCGAGTCATTGTGGTCTCCATATTTTTTATCGGCTTCATAAAAATGTGGGTGTTGTGGTTTATTTTCACTGACATTTGCCCTGATTAGCAGACTCAGGATTTTATTGGAGGTGATCAAGAAAGCTAGTCCACAAGAAAGTTCCAAATGCTGTTGTTTCTCCTATTTTACTCTAAACCCAAAAGCAAACAAAGTGATTAGTCAAAGTCACAATTAATGTCCAGTCAGTTTATAGGGCAAGCAATAACACCAGAAGGCAAAAAAGTATTGAATAAATGTGAACTAAGCTGATGAATACAAGCAGAACCAATACGTAAGAGGTGGTGAATGTAACACTGGGGACCTGTCGTACTTAGCTCTCTTTTGATTGCTAAATAATTAGATACAGTGAATTAAAGAAAGACTCTATAAGGACATTTAAATACAAACACGAGACAAAAAAAAAAAAGGAAGGTACCATCAAGAATAAGACTGTCAGATAACGATAGTTAGCTGTAAAATGTGTATGTAGCCCATAAGACATTAGTCTTTTCAATTCCACCCACAATGAGGCAACCATCAGAAGAAAGACAGCCTGTCACAAAAGTTACTTTCCTAAGGTACAAGAGTGTTCTCTCTCTCTCTTTTTAAAAAGATTTTATTTATTTGACAGAGAGAGAGTACAAGCAGGGGGAGCGGCAGGCAGACAGAGGGAGAAGCAGGCTCCCTGCTAGCAGGGAGCCTGATGTAGGGCTCGATCCCAGGACCCTGGGATCATGACCTGAGCCAAAGGCAGACACTTAACCGTCTGAGCCACCCAGGCACCCCAAGAGTGTTCTCCTTAATAAGGATATACTTTAACACATTAACATACTACTCTTCTAAGAACCTCAACTCCACCAAACAGCCAATACCTGGAAATAAGCACAAAAGCCCCCTAAACAAATACTGCAAACACCTTAAAAATCTTGATTTATGCTAGGCTCATTATTAGAGGCAAATACTTTTATTCTCAGTGATATCTCATTTATTCTCATCTTATATGCAATTCTGAGTTTTGAGATCTAATTTTTTTAGTCTTCTCAAATTAGAAACAACAGAGAGGGGAAGGAGCTGTTAACTTTGGGTATACCGACAACCTGGGGGAGTAGAAGCTGATAGTGAAGCTGTCAAAATAGCAAACTGACTATATCATTCATTCATTTTCTGTAAAAGTAAATACATTTCAATTCTTCTGTTATCTCATGCTGCATTACTGTATAAACAATTTAGGTATGCTCATAATAACAAATTAGTATAAACTGTTACTTATATGGAAAAAAAAAAGCCATGGAATATTACAGGAAGTTCCTAAGAAAAAACGTGATTACATCTAAATGAAGCAAATCAATTCAGTCCTCTTTTAGTCAAAGCTCTCATTTGCTCCTGAGTGGAAGACCATGATAGGATGAAAGAGAAAAATAGAGGGGAAGTGATAGAGGTCCATAAATGCTCATGTCTTAATCAGTTTAGAATAAAGAAACAATTGTCAACCCTCCCCACTGGGATTCAGTATTTTATTAGAGGACAATGTCAACAAATTGGATTTAAAAAAAGATATAACTGTTAGAAAGGCAAACAGTAAATTATGCTATTACCTATACAGAATATGACCGTATCAATAAAATGCAAAAGAATTCAAAGACAAACTATTAGAATTACCATAAGAGCAAAGAACAAGGTGGCTAAATACTAGATAAACAATAAAAAAATCTAACATAACAGCACTAACTAGTAAATAAATGTAGTTTTAGGGGCGCCTGGTTGGCTTAGTCAGTTAAGTGTCTGACTCTTGGTTTCGGCTCAGGTCATGTCCTCAGTGGTGGTGGGATGGAGCCCTGGGTGCGCTCTGCACTCAGCAGGGAGTTGGCTTGAAGATTTTCTCCCTCTGCTCCCCTCCCCCACTTGCACACGTGCTCTCTCTCTAGCAAATAAATCTTTTAAAAAATGTAATTTTAAATATCCTATTCACAATAACTTGATATTATCAGAGATAACCATAACACAAAACACAGATGAAGAAAAAGAGAAAAATTTTAATGAAGACCATAAAAGGTAACTTGAATAATAGTGAGACATACCATATTCTTGGATAGGAAGACAAAAATGTTAAGATGTCATTTCTTCCCATATTATTCTACAAGTAGCATTCCAGATAGTTATACAGTAAATCAGCAAGAAAGCCAAGACAATTTCTCTTCATTCAGTTCATTTCCCTTTCCAATTGCAAAGTTAAAAGGCTTTTAGTAAATTAGAGAAAGGTCATTTAGGATGTGCATATGCAGGACTCTTGCTGCTCACTTCTTGGCCAGTATATCACATGTTTGGGATGGAAACAACAAAAGTAGTTTAGGTCTAACAGTACATGAGAAAGTGGAGGCTATCCTTTTAAGGATAAACTACTCTTGGGAATTCTTAGTCTAGCCAACTAGGCAACTCTCAGATTCAATCCCCCTCTCCTGCTAGATGAGCACACTCTCCTGTCCTCCAGTAAGAACCTACAGCACTCTATTACACATTTTCCTTTTCTCCCACTTGAAGCTGTCATTTTCACCTTGATGTTATATATTTTTATTCTTCTTGACCTATACCTACATTTACACTTAAAAGTGTGAAAGTTAAGGCCATCTATGTCGGTTCTATTCTGGATTTTATAGATGAAGAAATTAGGCTTAGAGATGCATCAGAGGTAGAAAAAATAACTTCCTTAAATTCATATGGCTCAAGAAAAACCAAAGGCTAAATTATTCCTGTGCCCGATACTGTATCTTTAGAACTTTAGAATTCAGTAGTTTCTTCTAGTTTTACTGTCTAACTGAATGAGAGGCTGTTAAAGGATAAAATAATCTTAAAATATATTTATTCTTCATATTTGTCTCCATATTGTCTACATGTGTTATTTGTATCCTACTGTTATCCTTATATTCAATGGCATTCTTTAGATATCGCAATATAAGAATGTACTTATCAATGTTAGGGAAACATTAACCAACGGTTTTTTCCTACCTTTCTGCAATGCCTTATAACATCTGATGTATTCAATGGTCTCAAGCTGAAAAAATATATCAGGGATTTTTGTATCAGTTGAGTGTGAAGGATGGACAAAACTGTCCTAAATTTGTTGTAACTGACAAAATGGTAGAGCTTAGGGTTTCCATAAAACAATATTCTTCTACTAGTAAAATACAGAAGAATAAAGGAATTTGTTCCTTAGTCATGAAGAACTGAGATATACTAAAGAGCAAGAATCAGAGAGTTTTTAATGAAGACTACCACTATTTAGTCCCACAGATACATCTGCCACCTCTTCAGTAAGTTAGGGAGTATCCAAACTATCAATGCTAGCCAATAGCACAGGTAGTTTCAATGTAAGAATGTAATGGAATCCATGATTGGATGCCTTGGAGAGATCAGAGCAGCAGGGACACATTCTGATCAAAAGGTGGTAGTCACAGAGGCAGCTCAGTGACCTCTGAGGCTACAGGTATCTATGCCTAAGGTTCGATATTCAGACAGGCACTAGGTCTTGGGTAGACAGTACTTACAGACTATTAAGTGTCTAAGGCAGTCTTTTAAGAGATGGCTTTTCTGTGGAAATTCCTGGCTGAATATTATACGTCCTCCTACCCCAACCAGGCACTCTCTAATGCCCACACCAACTTTCACCCAAGCCTAGAGTCATATAAGATCCAAATCTCTTCTTTCCTTTCTAACAATTTGCGAGTACATCTTTTGTGCAGTAGGAGAAAAGAAAGAGAGAGAGAGAGAGAGAGAAAGAAAGAAAGAAAGAAAGAAAGAAAGAAAGAAAGAAAGAAAGAGAGGGGAGGGGAGAGGAGAAGAGAAGAGAAAGAAGAGAAGAGAAGAGAAGAGAAGAGAAGAGAAGAGAAGAGAAGAGAAGAGAAGAGAAAAAAGTTCCATCCAGCAACAGAGATTAGGCGTAATAGCATGAATATTGACACATATAGAATTGGAATGATGTTTCCAAGGCAGTAAGGAGACCAGACCTACTTGGGAAAAGGCTATATGAATGATACAGGAAGTAAAGTTAGACAGATGTAGTGGAACAAACTTTGATGAAAGCCAAGCCAAGGAGTTTAGATTTTATTAGTCACTGCCAATTTTTTGAGCATATATTTAAAGTGTTCATTTTTTTCTCTCTA